TTTAATGTAGCTATAGCTGCATCTTTAGAAATACGGACATATACCAATCATACAGGGCAAAGAGGCAATGTTCTTGCCAAAAGAAGCAATCTGGGATGCCTTGATTCCCCATTTTCTTTGTAAGAGAAATCCAGGAAACCTCTAGATCCCTGGCAGGTGTTTATCACTATTTCTACACCAAAGGGAGAGAAACAGCATGACGATGTAGTGTTCCAAATTTAAAACAAAACTCACTTTCTCCCTAATGATGGGCTATAACTGGTTATCTTTTAGCAAAGTGACTGCTATTATCAAGCTTTCATGTTCTTTTGGAAAATGTAGGCTCTGTCTTCTTCATCTTGGCAATGGTGCATCTCTAATCCTAATTTAATATCCCCAGTGGTACACATTTGATGGCCCCAAAATGTAAATAAAGAGGAAATAATAACTTTATACTATAAAACCATAAGCAAGAGACTTTCCATTTTCCTTTTTTTTTTTTTTTTTTTTTTGAGATGGAGTTTCACTCTTGTTACCCAGGCTGGAGTGCAATGGCGCGATCTCGGCTCATCGCAACCTCCGCCTCCTGGGTTCAGGCAACTCTCCTGCCTCAGCCTCCTGAGTAGCTGGGATTACAGGTATGCACCACCATGCCCAGCTGATTTTTTGTATTTTTAGTAGAGAAGGGGTTTCACCGTGTTGACCAGGATGGTCTCGATCTCTTGACCTCGTGATCCACCCGCCTCGGCCTCCCGGACTTTCCATTTTTCTATCAGTTTGACGTGTGGTGATTCCTACTACACTCAGTCACACTAATCAGCACTTTTCTCTTATACACAGTATTGCTTTCCATGATTTCAGTTACCTGCCATTAGCCACAATCCAAAATCAGGGAGGACAGCACAATAGGATATTTTGAGAGGGATAGAGAGAGAGCCACATTAACATAACTTTCATTACAGTACATTGTCGTAATTGTTCTATTTTATTATTATTGTTGTTAATCTCTTAGCATGCCTAATTTATAAATTAGACTTTATTATAAGCAAGTATTATAGGAACAAAAAGTATTTAGGGAGTTCAATGCTATCCATGATTTCAGGCATCCACTGGAATGCTTGGAATGTATCCTCTGAGTATGTGAAATACTATAACACATTTTTAATGTAAACATTTATTTTGAAGTATATACTGCACATATCATAATTAGCACATTATAATTATCCTGATGGTGATAGAGATGAATGACTACCACATTTTAATATGAAAATAAAGAGGGGAGGCAGACAGGCATAGTGGCTCATACCTGTAATCCCAGCACTTTGGAAGGTCAAGATGGATGGATCACCTGAGATCAGGAGTCCAAGACCAGCCTGGCCAACATGAAGACACCCCATCTCCACTAAAAATACCAAAAAAAATTAGCTGGGTGTGGTGACAGGCGCCTGTAATCTCAGCTACTTGGGAGGCTTAGGCAGGAGAATCGCTTGAGCCTGGGAATTGCAGTGAGCTGAGATTGTGCCATTGTACTCCAGCCTGAGCAACAAAAGCAAAACTCTGTCTCATAAATAAAAAGAGGGGAGGCAAGAAGATAAAGACTATCTTTAGATAACTCTTGTCCCAAGGAGTTTGCAATCCACAATACAATGTTCCAAATAACTATAATATGGGATGCTATGTGTACACGCTGAAATAGAACCACGAACAATGGCCAGTTGGGTACAGAATCCAATTGGGACACAACAAATTTGAGTGTAGGAACAAAAATCATGTGAAAATTTGATTAGGCAATTGGGAAGCTAGAAGAGAGATCAGAGGAGAGGCTAGACAGGGAAAATGCCTGTCTAGAGGTGATATTTTCAAGCTTTGGGAGGAAATGTGAGTGCCAAGGGGAGGCATGCGAGAGAAGAGAAGACAGCCAAAAATGAACTTTCTGGAGACCCTCCTGGAGGGGACATGTAAATAAATTGAATCAGGAAGAAGGTTTAGGAATGGTGAAAATAGGAAGATATATGTGAATATATTCCATTCTCAAGGACAAAAAAAAAATTGGAATGTCAAACCACAAGAAAGACCTGCAAGGTGAAATGCTTGTGAAGTTTAATAACATTGTGATGAGGAGGCTGCTTGTAAGCTGCAAGAGAATAGCTTCAGTCAATAGGAAAATGAAGATTATGATGAGCTGAGCAGTGAATGGGAACTTTAAAAATAGAAGTAGCTAATTTTAGTGTAAGGTGTCAGGAAGGGGTCCAGTTTCTGCTTTCTGCACATGGCTAGCCAGTTTTCCCATCACCATTTATTAAACAGGGAATCCTTTCCCCATTGCTTGTTTTCGTCTGGTTTGTCAAAGATCAGATGGTTGTATATATGCTGTTTTGCCTCCGAGACCTCTGTTCTGTTCCATTGGTCTATATCTCTGTTTTGGTACCAGTGCCATGCTGTTTTGATTACCATAGCCTTGTAGTATAGTTTGAAGTCTGGTAGTGTGATGCCTCCCACTTTGTTCCTTTTGCTTGGAATTGACTTGGCTATGCGGGCTCATTCGGTTCCATATGAAGTTTAAGGTGGTTTTTTCCAGTTCTGTGAAGAAGGTCATTGGTAGCTTGATGGGGATGGAGTTGAATCTGTAAATTACTTTGGGCAGTATGGCCATTTTCATGACATTGATTCTTCCTAACCATGAACATGGAATGTTTCTCCATCTGTTTGTGTCCTCTCTTATTTCGTTGAGCAGTGGCTTGTAGTTCTCCTTGAAGAGGTCCTTTACGTTCCTTGTTAGTTGTATTCCCAGGCATTGTATTCTCTTCGTGGCAATTGTGAATGGCAGTTCGTTCTTGATTTGGCTCTCTTTAAGTCTGTTATTGGTGTATAGGAATGCATGTGATTTTTGCACTTGATTTTGTATCCTGAGACTTTGCTGAAGTTGCTTATCAGTTTCAGGAGCTTTTGGGCTGAGACGATGAACTCCAGATGGATTAAAGACTTAAACATAAGACCTAACACCATAAAGACCCTAGAAGAAAATCTAGGCAAAACCATTCAGGACATAGGTGTAGGCAAGGACTTCATGACCAAAACACCAAAGGCATTGACAACAAAAGCCAAAATAGACAAATGGGACCTAATCAAACTCCGCAGCTTCTGCATGGCAAAAGAAACAGTCATTAGAGTGAACCTGGAAACCATCATTCTCAGCAACTGACAGAAGAGCAGAAGATCAAACATCGCATGTTTTCACTCATAGGCGGGTGTTGAACAATGAGAACACATGGACACAGGGAGGGGAGCACTACACACTGGGGTCAGTTGGGGGGAAATAGGGGAGGGACAGTGGGGGGTGGGGAGTTGAGGAGAGATAGCAAGGGGAGAGATGCCAGATGTAGGTGATGGGGAGGAAGGCAGCAAATCACACTGCTACGTGTGTACCTATGCAACAATCTTGCATGTCCCCAAAACCTAAAATGCAATAAATAAATGGGAAAAAATTTTGAATAAATGAATAATAAATGAAAACTTAAAAAAAACTGTGTTGTCCAGTATGAGTATTACTCCCTAAGCTATCTCTACTTAATATTTGCATGATATATTTTTATCCCATTGCTTTTAAGCTTTCTAACTTTTTATGTTTAAATTTTATCTTTTATTAAAAAGTTTTAAAATTCAAACAAACAAAAAAAATAGAAGTAGCTAGTGAAAAACAACATAACACAAAACAAATGTTTGAGTTTGGTGATAAGAAAGAGGGAAATGGAAAAATAGCCTAATGCAAGATTTTAGTGTGTTTTAAGTGATTTGCTTTCATTTTTAACTTAGGAAAAATAATTATTATTTGCGACTGCATTTTATTTAGCTCCTACTGAATGTCAGGTGGTGTATTCATCTGTTTCTCATGATACTATGAAGACATACCCAAGACTGGGTAATTTACAAAGAAAAGGGTTTAGGCAAAGTGTAGTAGCTCACACCTGTAATCCCAGCACTTTGGGAGGCTGAGGAGGGTGGATCACCTGAGGTCAGGAGTTCAAGACAAACCTGGCCAACATGATGAAACCCTGTCTTTACTAAAAATACAAAAATTAGCCAGGTGTGTTGGCAGACACCTGTACTCCCAGCTTCTCAAGGAGCTGAGGCAGGAGAATCACTTGATCCTGGGAGGTGGAGGTTGCAGTGAGACTGTGCCACTGCACTCCAGCCTAGGTAACAAGAGCAAAACTCCAACTCAAAAAAAAAAAAAAAAGAGTTTCAAACTTTTCTAGTTATACTGCCTATTTACATAATCTAAAACCACAAGTACCCAGAATATATTCCAAAAAAAAAAAAAAAAAAAAGAGGGTTAATTGGTTCACAGTTCTGCATGGCTGGGTAGGCTTCAGGAAACTTAACAATCATGGCAGAAGGCACCTCTTTACAGGGCGGCAGAGGACAGAATGAGTGCCAGCACGAAAATGCTAGATGCTTATAAAATCATCAGACCTCATGAGAGCTCAGTCACTATCACAAGAATTGCATGGGGAAAACCACCCCCATAATTCACATACTTCCCACTGGGTCCCTCTCACGACATGTAGGGATAATAAGGATGGCAATTGAAGATGAGATTTAGGTGGGGACACAGCCAAACCATATCGGGTAGAATGCCAGGAACTTTACATCCATTAAATTATATAATCTTACAATAATACTATTAGATAGATATTGTTAAGCTCATTTTATGATTTAGGAAACTGAGACACACAATGGTGAAATAACTTGCCAATATCATATAGTAAAGTTAAGTGGTGGGGCTGAGAATTAAATTAAGATCCAACTTGATTCTCAGTTTCATTCTCTAACTCTTGTACTAGGTTGACCCTAGCACAGGAGACTATTTGATAGAATTGCAAAGTGTCTAACCACATCTGTGTTTCTCCACCATCTCTGTAACTATAGCAAGCTGCAGTAAGCCATATGTTTATGCTAAGGTCAGAGTGTGGAGTAGGCATTATTATGCCTTACCACTATCTAGTTCTCCTTCTTTTCAGGTACACAGAAGAGTGAACCTCCAGCTCCTTGTTGTGCAGGAAAATATGAGTAGTTCAAGCCAGTGAAATGTGAGCAAAAGTCAGATGCCACTTCTGGACTGAGGCAATGAAAAGCCTTATTTTCCAATTTCGCACTTCCTCCACTGTGCCAGTTGTAGGGAGGCCTTGAATTGAGCCATGTCAATTCAATTTTGACAGCACTAAAAGACTGAAACAGTCTAGATTAATGAGTCATAATATGGAGGAAAACAATTCTGAAGAGTACAAAACAACTCTGAAATGGAAATTGTATAAATGAGAAACATTCTTTTATTGTGTTAATTTGCAATTGCCCAATGGGTTCACCTTGCCCACTGCCTAGACAGAGATGATTTATCAAGACAGGTGAGTTCCAATAGAGAAACAGAAATTTACACAGAGCTGGCCATGTAGGAGACGAGTTTTATTACTCAACCCCAGTCTCCCTAAGCATCCAAGGATCAGAGTTTTTAAGGATAATTTGGTAGATTGTGGGGCCACTGAGTTGGGAGTGTGGATTGGTCAGGTCAGAGATGAAATCAAAGGGAGTTGAAGCTGTCTTCTTGAGCTGAGTCAGTCCCTGGGTGGGGGCCACAAGATTGGATGAGCCAGTTTAACAATCCGAGTGGTACCAAGTGATCCATCAAGTGCGAGGTCTGCAGAGTATCTCAAGCACTGCTGTTAGGTTTTGCAATAGTGATGTTATCTCCAGCAGGAATTTGGGGAAAGTCAGAATCTTGTAGCTTCCAGCTGCATGACTCCTAAATCATAATGTCTAATCTTGCGGCTGCTTTGTTAATCCTACAAAGGCAATCTCGTCCAGGCAAGAAGGGGGTTTGTATCAGGAAAGAGCTATTATCATCTTTGTTTCAAACTATAAACTAAGTTCCTCCCAAAGATAATCCAGCCTACACCCAGGAATGAACACGGACAGCTTGGAGATTCGAAATTAGATGGAGTTGGTTAGGTCAGATCTCTGTCACTATCTCAGTTACAATTTTACAATGGTGATTTCAAAATATCTAATATTAGAGGATTACTTGTTACCACATTGTAAACCAAGCCTGTGCCTCAGAGAACCAAGGGAGAACATCCAATCTGTACCTGGGGCATTCATAAAAAGATCCTTGGAAGAAGTGACTGCTAGGTTATTTCTAAGGATGAACAGGAGTTACATAAGCAAAAGAAGGAGAAAAATAGAAAAAGAGGAACCAGTAGACTGTACACCATTTATGAATGTTCAGAAGAACAAGATGGTATGTTCAAAGAAGAGCATGGCACGTCAATTAGTGTCAATGAGCACTGACTTTGAAATTGCCTCTGCAAAGATTATAACAGCAAAAGAAGTCTGGCATGGCTGACTCCATCTTGCTTCTAGCTTCACAGGCTGGCTGCCCTTGCTCGTTCCTGAGTGTAAGCCAAGCTTACCATGGGAGGAGTTTAGTTTATAGTTTAACTTTGAAACAAGAATGATAATAGTCCCTCCCTAAAACAGACCCACTCCTTGTTTGGGGACTGAAACTGTCTGTGTAAAACTAACGAAAGGCCACAAGATTAGGATTTTGATAGAGGCCTAAATTGTACTAAGATGTAGGCAGAGTTAAATGATAACAAGCCATTGTTTCATAACTTACTTTTCTATAATCCCTTACTGCTCAGGAATCATGCGGCCATAAGTCACAAGATTTGTGACTTTCTCAATTGCTTTTACAGATAACACTATTGTAGAACCCACAATTGGTCTTTTGAGATGTTTTTCCAACTTTTGCATTCTGGTGACCAACTGGTTCCTCTTGGACCTGTGCTTCATAATTGAACCAGTCCCGTGGCCCCCACCCAGAGGTCGACTCAGCACATGAGAATCATTTTCCACACCCCTATGATTTCATCCCCAACCAGTCAGCAGCACCCATTCCCTAGCCTTCTACCCATCCTATTATCCATAAAAACCCTAGCCTCAGAGTTCTCAGGGAGGCTGATATGAGTAATGAATTTCTGTCTTCCACTTGGCTAACCCTGCATTAATTAAACTCTACTGCAATACTGCTGTCTCAGTGAATTGGTTTTGTTTGGGCAGTGTGTAGGAAGAACCCATTGTGGGGAATTATACCTTTATTATAATGTAAATGTATATATAAATATAGGTTTTTACTCTGTGTTACTTATTCTGCTTTCATGATACATGAAATTCTTGCAGAAAAGTATTAAGACCTAAAATTAGTAAACTGATAAAAGCTTTATACTTGTACTAGTTTCCTATTCCTGCTATAATTTATTAACACAGTGATAATACCTTAAAACCATTATTTAGCCAATTTATTTTCTTACTGTTCTGAAAGTCAGAACTCTGGAATCAGAGTTTTTCTAAGCTAAAATCAAGGAATCATAAGTTCCTTCTGTAGATTCTAGGAGAGAATCTGTTTCCTTAATTTTTCTCTCTTCTAAAGGCCACATACATTCGTTGGTTTATGGCCTCTCCTTCTATTTTCCAGAGTGCATAATTCCAAATTTTGCTTCTGTCTTCTCTCTGACCCTCCTGTTTCCCTGTTATAAGGACCCTGTATTATGTTAAGCCCACCTAGATAGTCCAAGAAAATATATTCCTTCTCAAAATCCTTAATTATATCTTCAAAGTTCCTTCCACCATATAAGGCAACATATTCACAGTTCTGGGTATTAGAATGTGAACATCCTTGGAAGGCCATTATCCAGCCTACCACAATACTTAAAAGAAGTCTGAGTAAGGTCATAATCAGAGAGTGAGAAGGGGAGAAAAAGTTTTAAAAATAAGAACACAACCATACTGAAATGGATTGTAAAAGTAAGTAATAAAAAGAACATGATACACAAAGATGAAGAGAATGTAACTTACAGGGAAGAGGAGGGTAAGACTTGAAGATCAGAAAAATAAAAATTTGAATCAAGACCAAATAGGTGATAATCATAATATATTAAGAACTGATTTTTCTCCCCATATCACTAGTTGAGGAAGGTATTGGTAAATTAATAAACTCAAATTTATATCATAAATAGATTGCCATATACCACTGTGCTTTAACTGTGTACTCTAGTTAAATTATACAGTGGTTATTATAAATTAAATATATACTTATTATTCCTCCAAAGTTCAGTGCAATTCAGCCTGCCTGGGAATTAAGAGAGAGAGATTTCTGAACTGTTTGGGCTTTATCTGAGTATTTCTGAAAGACCTTAAACACAGAATTGACATGGTAAAAAGGTAAAATCTCTTTTGATTATTTAATATGGCTTATCATTATGTCAATAAAATATATAATGCTAATAATGGGACCCAAGAAGCAAAATAAATCAGCAAGTAAGTCTTCATAGTCAAAGTTGAGAGCTACTGGTATCAAGATAACTTCTGTCTACAGGAAATACAGGATTAAAAAAAAAAACAAATAAATGACACCACAGAGAAACAGAGAAAAATACAGAATTAAGGGCATTTATGAGCAGTGTTTCTCACATTTAATGGGCATACAACTCACCTAAGAATCTTATCAAAATATATATTCTGATACAGTAGGTCTAGGGTGGGGCCTGAAATTCTACATTTCATATAAGATCCCAGGTGATGCCAGTTCTGCTGGTCTGCAGACTATATTTTAAGTACCAAGGGTCCAAAAAAAATGACAGCCTGATAGCTCTAAAAAGTTTATAGCATGAAGAAAAAAAATAGCAAGGTAGGACTTGTAAGGGACTGAGTTTAAGAGTCTTAAGGGACACTGCAATCAAATGTAAAGGGAGACGATCTTCGGTAGTATAGCGGAATAGGAAATCCTAGTCCTTGTCCCCTCCTAAACAGAAACACCAGAAAAAAAATTGGCCCAAACTGCCTCTATAAGAATTTCAGATTCCAGTTAAGAAGTTCCAATGCTCAGATGAGTATATAACTGAGAAAAACCCCTTCAAAATTAGAAAGAGATATAGTTTCACTTTACCTGTGTCAGCTCCTCCTTCAAGCCAGCAGTGCTCAGCATGAAATCCCTTTGGCATATAATATGTCCTGGGGATGGATGGAGTGTTATTTACATGTGTCCCACTTGCAGCTGAGGAACCCTGAAAAACAACACCTAATCTTTATACCCTAACCTTTATACCCCAGAGTCACATGTCACTAGACTAAAGCATTAAAGGACATCCTATTCTGGGAGGACTAGAACAGAAGCCAGGCTTTTCCAGACAGTCTCTCCCTATTTGAGGATGTTGCATGCCCAATTCATTCTATAGTTATAGTTGAAAATTATAAACAAGAAAAGGAAGAGAACTGGGTTGGTCCAAGGCTACTCAGAGAACTATTCTGCACAAGGGAGTCTCCATAAGACTATCAGTGGATTTCTCATCAGAAAACTTACCCACCAGGAGAAAGTAGTATGATATAGTCAAGGTACTAAAAGACAAATGCTGTCTACAAAGAAAACCATACCCAGCAAAACTGTCCTTCAGAAATGGAGGAGTAAATATTGTCCTAGATAAATGAAAACTGGGGGAATACATTATTACCAGACCAGCTTTATAAAAATGTTAAAGGGCATTATTCAAGTTGAAATAAAAGGATGCTAAAGAGTAACAGAGAATACTCTAATACTGTAATGGTGATGTGTAAATCACTTTTAATTTTAGTACATAAGTTAAAAGTAAAAAAATATTAAGAATAACTTTACAAATACTTGTTAATGAAGTCACAGTATAAAAAGATATAACTTGTGACATCAATAATATAAATTGTGTAGTGGGGAATAAAAGTATAGAGATATTTACATGCAATTAAAGCATACTTAGTACTTCTAAGTTGTTCTCAGCTTAAAATAGATGGTTATAGTAATAAAATATTTATGTATGCCTTATGGTACCCACATACAAAAATACATACAGAAGATACAAAAAAGAAAAGAGAAAGGAAACAAAGACATACCCACAAAAAAAATCAATAAAATGACAAGAAAAGCATCAAAAGAAAAGGAACAAAAGAAACTACAAAACAGGAAACAATTAACAAAATGGAAATTGTAAGTTCTTCGCTACCAATAATTACTTTAAACATAAATGGATTAAAGTTCCCAATCAAAAGACATAAAGTCATTAAATGCTTAATTTTAAAAGACCCAACTATATGTTATCTACAAGAGACTCATTTTAGATTTAAGGATATACATAGGATAAAAGTGAAGGGATAGAAAAAAATATTCCATACAAATAGTAACCAAACGAGAGCAGAGATGACTATACGTCTATCAAACAAAAGAGACTTTAAGTTAAAAAATTCATGAGACAAAGAAATACATTATATTATGATAAAAGGACACTTCATCAGGAAGATATAACAATAATAAATATAT